GCTGGAAGAGGACCTTTCTTAAAAAGTTCGTATGAAAACTTTATGGAGGCAAACGTCTAGATGAGTACTTTTTCCTAAGATCGGCTGAGCTCCATGATAGATAGATAGAACTTGAAAACTCGAAAAGGTACAGGCCATGTGTGATAAATCCAAGAGAAATATATCACTTTATCAAGGTGTCCACATCAATGGATAACACACCAAGTCCATTATGCCAGATTTCTATGAACTTAATGTGTTTTTGATGTACCCGGATTCAACGTAACAGCATTGTATTGTTTGCGTCAGTCTATACTCGTCGATAATTCGAAGGATCGTGTATAGGATCGAAATATCTTTTTTCTTTAGACTATTCAGCTTTTCCTTTGCTAGTTAAGAAAAAAAAAAAAGAAAAAGAAAGAAAAAGAAGAAGGAGAAGAAGAAAATCCGTATTCCCGAATGGACGCAGTAAGGCGTTGGGCAATGGCAAACGAACGATCGTATCGATGCACGGTTTCTCAAGCTCGCAAGTACGGGCAAGTACAAAGAGGCCGATAGTGGGGTTCACCCTTTCTAGCGCATCCAACCCTCCTTACGAGTGTAAGAGGTTTTAAGGGGGTAGACGAAGGTGCGGGCCGAGAGGGGAATCCAGCCGAAGGAGGGAATCGAGACTTCGGTCAATTAAGCCCAGGAAATTAGAGTTTTAATTACGCAGTCATTCAGAAAATTACATCGGGGCCGCGCAAAAGCTAGTTTTAGAATCGCTTTAGAGGTACGCGAGGAACTACGACTTCGTGTACGGATTTTCTAAAGGACTTGCTTTGTTCTCTTTTTTACTTTCTCTCTCTTTCTTTTTTTTTTCTCCTTGAAATAAAATCTTGCAGGAGAGATCGACTAATCGTTTGCTAGTACTACGCATGCTCCATCCAATCGAGCAAGATCAAACGACATCTTTCCGACACTTCAGATGGAAGTAAGAATGCTTTAGAAGAATAAAAAGAAGAAGGTGGAGAGGATGAATGAATAGGAGAGCGAGTCGCTTAAGAAACACTTCAGAAGAGTAAGAAGATGCAACGAGTACTTTGAGGTTGTTCCTGTTGTTGGTGAATCACATCGACTTCCAAGACATTACATCTTCCAAGTAACGGACGATTCTATCTTCGAATCGGTCCATTGTCGATAGTCAGCGGTACGTTCATCGAGTGCTGGGTGTCATTTGATTCTTGAGCCAGCCAACTTAGACTGATTCCTAACGATTACTACTAGTACTATTATTAACGGTAGCTACGTATCAACGTTGAAACGCAATGACTGTAATTGATGCCTAACTTTACGTTATAATACTGTTACAATTAATGCAAAGACGAATGCTAAAGAGAGAAAGAGAGAGAGAGAGAGAGAGAGAGAGAGAGAGAGAGAGAGAGAGAGAGAGAGAGAGAGAGAGAGAGAGAGAAAAGGGCGGAAGTAAAGGAACTCGTACAGAAGTGGAATGGAGTGGAGTGGAGTGTGAAGTGGAATCGAATAGGGTAGAATACTGTAGAACGTTAGAGAGTTAAGCGAGAAGGTGCGTCTGTTCCACGTAGCGGGGGTTAAATCTAGTTACATGCTCGGTGACGGCTACTCGATAGGCTATACCACCACCGAGTGGTGGCAAACCGGCTCGTCGCTCTTCGACGTTCATTCGGGGTTTGCCGAACTGATATTACCCGTTTCCAGGATCACCACTCGATATTCGATTCGAGGACGACGTTTCCTTCTCTGTTAGATGAGAGACTTCCCTCTTAGGGAATACATAGTTCTGTGTCATCGTGCTTGTTCTCTGTCTTTGCACGAAATTAGTCTACCCAGGAAGCTTCTTTTTTCGTTCGAGTCTCAAGGGAACTGATCATCGATCGATCATACGAGTGAAGGAGTCGCTGGAATTTCAAGAGGAACGAGCGATCGTTAGCAAAGGGAGACAAGAAGGAAGCCCATGATGGTTCGTCGAAGAGGAACATTAGGAGTTGAGACGATACAAGAGTAGGATTGCTGAAGAGCTGACGAGAGCTGAAGAGAAAGAAAGAAGGAAGGAAAGAAAATCATCGCGAGAACGGTGGATAATGGAGAGCGTTAATTTTCCAAATGAAAACGAGGCATCCATCTTTGCCGAAATGCTTGCCTCTCGACACTTCAGCGACTCAGCCATTATCTCGCATAACGCATTACAGTAATGAATTAATTTTCACCCAAGCACGTTTTTCTCTTTCTCTCTCTCCCTCTCTCCCTCTCTCACCGCTTCTGGGTTCTCAATCTCCTCAGTTATTTCTCGATATAGTTCTTCAAACGTTTCCTAATCTTATCTAATCGTAATGGAGAGAGGACGCGAGCTCGGTATCGACAATCAGCCATTTCTCTTTTTTTTTTTTTTTTATTCGATCTTTTGAAATTGCGGTTCTCTTTGACTTATCAAACGTTATCGTTCGCTTTAACATGGATTTAACGAACGTTGAAATATTTCGAACGAAATGTCGTCCACGTTTGCGAAACTAATGCATAATGTATTTCACATGTCCGCGCAATTACATTTATAATTACATCATTATTATACGCGCGCGTGAACTGGAATCTATTATATAGGAAGGTATGTATATAGTGCGGATTGACAGGGCGAAAGATCAGAGTGCCGAATCGATATCTTCCTCCCTTTCCTTCTTGTCATTTTCTCATTCCTTCCTTCCTTGCTTGCTTCCTTCATTCTCCGCCGCCGCTTCCTCCACCGCTGCTTCCTCCGTCCATTCTTGTTCTTTTCTCAAGTCCGCCAAGCTGCGCAAGGCGAGCTCGTTAACGTATTCATGGGTTTATGGGACAATTAACCCTTTGAGGGACAGTTTAATTACACAGAAGCGATTAAACATCTTAACGTATAAACACGTCGAGCTCGCGGCTGGTATGTGTGTACGAAACGCGCCGTGGCAGCCAGGGTGCGGCTGTTACCAATTAACATACTAATGACACGAGGTGCTTTTCAAGGGCCACTGTAACCGCCCGGCCTGCAAAAGCTTCTGAAGCGAGGTACATATATATATATATATATATACATATATGTGTGTGTATATATGCATGGGATAACGTTGTCGAGTATACCTAAGTGCGCCGTCTACGTCTGCAAGTATTTTCGGTAGCGTACGCGGTTTCGAAAATTGTTGATGTAGTCGGCCCAAGAAAGAATTTTTAATTGTGGCCAAACATTTTCTATGATTCGCGAGAGAACACGTATGTAGGTACGAGTATGCAACTCGATGCCGCGTTATTAAACCGGACGTTAGCGTAATTACTCATCAACCATTAATCAACATTGTTTTAGCAATTAGGAATTGCCGGGGGATTTAATTATTACAGCAATTAGCGCATAGTTCCATCGTTAATAACTTTCGCCGTTTCATCTAAACGTGATTTATTGCGATCAGGAAACTCGAGAGCGAAAGAATGGTATTGCTGTGTATTGCTGTGAGGTATAACGGTGAATAAATAGGCGACACGCCGATGAAAATGCACCGGTTAACTTCGATTCGACCGTTGAAGGTATTCGATTAATTAGAAGCTCGAAATATTGCTGTCCTCTATTTCTATTAAATATGGTATCGCGCATCTATAGGGTTGCTGGCGATACACACGTTGACGTTTGAAATTCGATATATCGACAGCAAAACGATACATTTCAACAGAGTCTCGATACGGGCGTAGCGATGTTTCTGATACATCGGACCGATCGCAAGTACTATTGAATATCGCTGATTGCCTGCTATGTAAACCGATTGCTACTTCGATTTCAATTTTCAATTCAATGTTTAGTTTTCGATCGTCCTTTGGTCAGTGGTATTAACTAGAGGGGGAAAAAAAATCATTTCATCGTGTAGTTAATACAACTAGGAACAAAGTGAAATGATTCGTTGAGCTATCTTCTGTATGTTATAGGTAAACGTATACCATGTACGTACCCCTACCATTACGTATATACAGAATATCCTGTAGGTAAATAGGCATGCGAGCGCGCGAGCGCGTGCGAGGTACACAAGCCTCAGAAAAGTTGGATCAAATTTTACCAACGTTTTTTTAACTCCCTCGGTCGTGTTGGGTGCAAAATTAAAAAGCAGCTATATGTTTTGGTACACGGCGAAAGCATTCCGTTTAAGTCTCTTTCTCTCTCTCTCTTTCGGACGCGCATACAAGCGTATACTACACACACTTGGCAGCGATAGCCGAACTCAAGCGGATCGCGTTAAACGAATTTTAACTCGGCCGGTTTTCACTAGTAAGGCCATGGGCTACGGACCGTTTTCGATTTAATTAGCTAATTATATTGTTCATTTAATTAATATAATTGGAACGACTGGCGGTCGCATGCGCACGAGTCCTTCGTCGTTCCAGCTACCCCGCCGTTGGCCTGCAGTGCTGTATTTAATGACATCCATTAACGAACGTTTACATTAACTGTAATTATCGCTGTCTCTATGGATGCAAGACCAAACGGCACATACAGTGGCACACGAATTTCCAATGGCTAGACGGGAAAGAGTTTTTTTGCGTATGCCGATTATTGTGACGGGCATCTTTTATGCGAACGATTGAAAAAGCTTTTAATCGTTTCGATCGAAACCTAATACTGTCACGGAAATTTTCCTTCCTCCAGCATTAAAATTTACTGGTCGATCTCCCTTTCTCTATCTGTCTCTTCTCTAATATTCCAGATCCGAGATTAAAGAGAGTATTTACCTATCTATCCGTAGGTATGAATATAAATCGGTGTGTTTGTTCGAATCGATCGAATCCCACCGGCGATCGATTCCGATTAAAAAAGACGCGTCATTTAGATAGTAGTACACTTTCGAACGCATCGAGCCGCGCGCGGCATCCATTCGAGTCGCGGCGAATCGAGGCGAATTTTAACGGAGAGAGCCGAGGGAGGACAAGTTGCGCGCGCAACTTGTCGACCGGGCGCTCGGCGGGTCTCGTGCCGCGCTCGTGTCCTTCCTTCTTATTCCGGTCTCGACCTTCGTCGTGGAAGGACGTTCTCTTCGAGCCGCGTTTATCGGCGTCGCGACGATAACGCCATCGTTGACATTGTGCGAGGAGAGCGCGGACACGAATACGACTCGAATATACCAATAAATCGAGGGGGAAAGAAAGCTCTTACATATTGCATCGTTATTGTTCTTAATACTTGGAAATAACACTCGTGGAAATCGATTAAAGTCGTTCAACGTTAAAGTCGTCTAACCAGTGTCGGCACGATATCACGAAAATTTCTCTGTCTCTTTCTCTCCCCTTCTCTTACTATCGCTTGTGTTTCCCTCGACGAAAGAGCATAGTTACTGGCTTATCTCGAGTGTCGGATAAGTGTCCTTGCCTGAATTCCTGGAATCGTTTTCATCTACCGCCACAGGTGGACTCATTGAGGATTTTCGCTTTTGTGGATACTCTCTACTTGCCTGCCACTGATGTGTAAGTTTTACATTATGTTTATACATATATATATATATCATATTTTATTGTTTATCGTTACATGACCTTCTAACTTTAGCGATACCTATATGTTATGTTTCTAACGTCGACATCGGAATATAAATCTTTCGGCGAAAACATAATAAATCGTGTTTGCTTTTTCTAACAATACCACAGATATTTCTCAAGCATCTATATTTTTATGCTTTCAAGATTCCTATTAATTATTTTATTGAATTTCTTTATTTGTTTTACTTAATTTTTTTTAATAAGCATTTAATACAGATGGCGATAGTAGCGGCTCTTTTTCAAAATGCTTTTGTCTACTAATCCTTCCTAATTCGAAAAATACCATTTGAATTTTTTTGTTGTTAAAAAAAAGACGATCGGCTGCGTCGATCGAGCGCCTTAAGGAAGTATCGACCTATGAAATTACAGGTCAAGATCATCAGGGAGTATCGTAACCGTATATAGATCGCATCGAGGATATCTTGGAGGAGACTTGCACGCGCGCAATTACGCTTGATTTAACGAAAGCACGAAGAGAGAAGATATATTGCATTCTCGATAATATGCACTCTAGTCCCGTGTAATTTATTTTCGAGTGGCAATTACGTCTTTAGCGAAGGCATACACGTTCTAGAACGAAACGTACTTTCATGTATGTAATATCCTTCGTAAAGAACGAAAGAAAGAAAGAAAGAATGAAAGAAAGAAAGAAGAAAAGCAAAAAGATGCAATCAACGGTCAATTAATCGACCCGCTTGTAGTATTTCTTGCAAAGTGAATGGTGTATAATAATACCTACACGGTTAGTGTATAAGCTTTTGCTTAACCTCTTGAAGCAAAACGATAACCACTTCCACCAATCGATTTCTCGATCCGCTATTCTCGAAAAGGTTCTCCTCTCCTTATAGTATATATTTCGTTAACTCGAAGAATCCACGAAGAGAGTCTCGTCGACCGGTCTTTGCGATGGTAAGGCGTTGTTTGTGCAAGGATCGCTCTCGCTCGGCTTAATGTTCACCGCGGCGAGAGCTGGCGAGGCATTAATTGGGGAGCGCCTTAATTGCCTGGGCGCATGCGATGACCGTTGTAATTGCCTGGACTAAGGTGCCGAGCGATGGCAGAAGGTGTGCGCGCGCGCGCGCGAGCATTCAGCCAGCATCTCTCCGCTTATATACATGCGTGTATACCTACTGCGTTTCCGTGTATAGGTGTACGTACGTACATATCTATGTAGATACCTATATAAATATATATATATATCTTGTGTGTGTGTGTGTGTGTGTGTGTGTGTATTTGCGCTGGAACGGGGATCGTATTTTGCGGGTTCTTCTAATGGAATCCAAGGTCATTCCGTAATTAACGCGCTTTAATTTATCGTCGAAACGTTAATTGCGCCGATTGCTGCTCGCCTTTCTCGAGGTGGGCGGAGAGAAAGAGAGAGAGAGAGAGAGAACGTTTGCGTCAGCCGAGAATCGTCTCTCTCTCTCTTTCTCTGTGAAACTTCCCCTCTGATGATTTATCGTATTCGACGATTTCATATATCTATATAATGAACTCGAAATCGTTTTCGAAGCGATTTCTTCTTTTCCGATAAAAATCTTTCGAGTATCAAAGGTATTTGCTTCTTTCAATCTCTCTCTCTCTCTCTCTTTCTCTCTCTTTCGTTCTTTTCTCCGTAAAGAAGTACGAGAATTTTCAACGTTTGAGTATTCACGTAGTCTCGACATTATCTCACTCGATATACCTACATACAGGTTTATGCGTGTAGGTGTCTCCTTGAGAGATCGTCTCGGGGGAGGCAAGAGAGAGAGAGAGAGAGAGAGAGAGAAAGGGAGGGAGGGAGGGAGGAGGAGGGTTGGCGGGTCGAATTCGTGCGCTCGAAGGGGCGCGTCTTCCGATTGGTTTTTCGCTTCGGTGTACCGACTAGACTCAGTCAAGGTGGGAGTCGGAAGTCAATCTTCGCGGCCGGAAGTGGTCGCCATCCTACTGGAGCTACCCATCTCTCCCCTCTTTCTTTTTCTTTCTCTTCTTACGGGGAAGCAGCAGCTTCTTTCGTTGGTGCCGTTTCTAACGTAAGTCGACGCTATCTTTTCCTACGGGAGTTGCTCGTCTTCTCCTTATTCTCTTCCTTCTCCTCCTCCTCCTCCTCCTCCATCTCGTGATTCTACTGGTTCGCGTTCGTTCTCTCCCTCTGGACAAAGAAAGCGCGCGCGCGCGCGCGAGAGAGAGAGAGAGAGAGAGAGAGTGTGCCGCCAACCCCTAAATGAAATCCTGAAATTAAAACCATATATTAACCTCACGGCGTCTCCTAAATTAAAAAACAACATTTTTACGAGCAAAGCTTAGGTACACTCTTGTCTGAAAAGAAAAAGAGAGAGAGAGAGAGAGAGACAGAGAGAGAGAGAAAGATAAGTAACGGGGTAAGGGATTACTAACACTTCGATATCTACCTCTCTCTTTCCCTTTCACTTTTCTTTCTTCGTTTCTGTGGACTACGGGCGACGTTCTATCGTTCGTAAATTGCGTTTTTAAATTCGTCGAGGGCTGAGAGAGCCTCGTGCCGTGCCATTCGCGAGTATTTCCGAAACCTGTCGAGAACGTTCAAAGAATCGAAAAGAATTTTCTCTATTCCCTATTCAGTTTCTATATTATACGATATTGTTCGAAATCGATTGAAAATCGTAAAGAGAAGAATCCCTTTAAGACAACACTGCGAAGATGAAAAGAAAAAGATATCGCGTATAGGGAAGGGCAAGGGGGGAGGGAGGAGGGTTGGAGTGTAGGGTGAATGGCAGGAAAAGGTAAGGGGGAGGGAAGGAGGAGAAACGCTATTTATTTCGCACGATCGCTTGCCGTCGATTCGACGTTCTTACCTACGAGATAACACCGAGAATAAGATGAGGACAGAATGAGGCGAGGAAAAAGGAGGGAGGGAGAGAAAGAGAGGGTTGGAAGAACGAAACGAGAAAGAGGTTAACGGATGTGAAAGTGGAAGGGTAGAAAGAGCTAGCTAGCAAACCGGATACGTTCTGGGCCGCATACTTTGGAAATACTACGGCCGAATCGAGTAAGGGTGTATAATGGAAGTTGAAATTGGTCGGCCCTGTCCCGGCTGGGCAAGCTCTTCTCTACCCGTATACGAGAGCGGCTATCGAGGGAAACGCATTCCATGCCAAAATTACTTCGCGCTGCGATCCGACGGGATATACAAGGTACCGTTAGGATTGAGGTTAGCCTTTCGTACCCTGAAAAAGAAAGAAAAAGAAAAAGAAATCTATCCTCGAAAGAACGTCACCGTTTCACAGCTGTCACTTTTTTATTCCAAAAGATCGTCCTTAAGCGCATATATGTCATAAGTCTCATTGATTCTTCTCAAAATCGATATTTTAAAGATCGTTCGACATTAATTTCACCCCTTACAGAATAGTACGGCGACGAAGGAGGGAGGAAGAAAAGGGAGATATTGGTAAGCCCCATGAAATATTCGTCAATCTGGGAGGCATCTATTTACCTATCCGGTTACTCATCCGGCTATCTATCCGTCCGACTGTACGCCTCTCTTTTTATCTCCCTCGTTGGCCGTCCTTGTCTTCTTTCGCCTCTGTTGGTTTCACATTTGTGGAGCGTTGATTAAAACCACTCGACGAACGTGGAAGGAGAGAAGAGATAACGAGAGAGGGAACGATCCGTGAGGAGGAGGAGGAGGCGGCGGAGGACGAGGAGGAGAGAGAGAGAGAGAGAGAGAGAGAGAGGACGGAGAGCTTTGACGGAGGGTGAGACGGAAGCGGGAGCGAGAGAGAAATAGGTTCGTATATACGGAGTTTAAGGTGCGTGTGGTTGGACGCGTGCTCGAGCGCGCAAATCGAACGCAAGCGCGAGGAATAAGGGGCAGAGGGATAGACGAGAAGGAGGAGGAACGAAATGAGGAGGAGAGAAGCAGAGTAGGAAAATAGGAGGAGGTAGAAGAGAAGGAGGACCAAGGCGTTGCTTGCTTAATTACTAAAAGCTAATCAATTCCGGGAGGAAGTAAAGTTTAAATTGCGAACTAAAGTATAGCCGGCTCCCGGACGTAGCCCTGCAAAGCGATATTACCGCGCGCGCTGCATTCTGCAATTAGCCCGTGGTAAGTCATTGAAAGCAAATTATGGGCGGAGCCCGTGAACGCAGCGTCCGTTTTCGCAGTTATGAAAATTTCCAAGGCGGCACACTCGCTTGCACCATCTAAATGTCTCTGTTCTCGTTCGTTAAATATATATATATATATATATATATATATATATATATATATATATACGTATTATATATCTACCTATATATTTAGCAGAATAGAGATCAGGTGTTAATCGATTCAAAAGCCATTGGACACGATTGGCTATATCAACTTGGTAAGTTTCGTAAAATCTTAACAAAGTTCGATAGCCGATTCGAAATCGTTCCTTTTCCTCAGTGGCAATTCATTTTCTACGTCCAGTTTATTTTCCGTATACTTTTAAAACGTGTACCACATAACGCCAACGTATTCAAAACCCCCGTTTTCTGGGTCAGGAGGATTCATCGTGCATGAACGATCAGAGAAAAACTTGAACGAGAGCGACACGTAAAACGTTTCTTTTGAGCCAGATCTTTCCTCGCTGCGGTCACATTTTCTTTTTACCAGCGAAGGTTAACGCTTTAGACATTGAATCTCGCGACTAGATATCGACTTCTCTCACTCTCTCTCTCTCTCTCTATATATATATATATATCTTTCTCTGGTTGCTATATATATATATATCTTTCCTACTCCTTCGAATATTAACGAGTGCAAAGTTGAACGTCGAGTAAACTCCAGATGCGTTCTATTATAAACTTCGTAACCACTCGCTAAGCGAAAAGGCGATAGAACTACATCTTACTCATCACCTTATTCAAAATCCAAATCTTGAAAAGTAACGCGACTTTGGAGTCTGAATCGAGTCGAGAAGAATGGAATCTGGCTGACTGTTAAGACG